GTTGTTGTTGCTATGGAAACAACATGACAGAGTGTGTGGTTCGGGTGCCATCGTGTGGCCTTCTGTAGGCATCGTACTTGCTTCGGCTGTTGCTTGGCTGTTGACCAAGTTCGGGGCCATCTTCGTGCGAAATTCTAATTCCATATTCGTGTGTCCATCTGGTGTCAATTTTGGGACCGTTCTCAAACATGTTCTCTTGTGCAAATAACTCTTTCTCAAATGTATAACGTTTTTTTTATACTTTTAGGATTTTTTTTTCACATATATACTTTTGCAATGTATTTTGGCCAAGTTCGGCAATTTCAAAAAGGGGAGACAACATTTCTCCAGCGTCCCGAACGTGAATGACACCTATAATTCACATGATCACTACCACCCAGTGTGAGATTCATTCAGATATACAACTGCTAATTTGAAGGGTTTTAGATATGAAAAAAGTCAGAAGCGGACCTTCTTTCTTAAGTGTTCTTGAGCAAAAGCACTGATTCCCTCTCAGGCCTGTTCTTTTGCAGCGTGAGCCTGACCTCTGACTTTTCCGTGCTAGACATTCCAGTGATAATAATTCTAAGCAGGGGGGGGGGATGCACCCAGTGTTTTTGAGGGGGAAACAAGTCACCTCCATGGCAGTGTCGTGCAATTTTATGCCAACACTAAAAATGTTCTCTGTAAAGCTGGAGAAAAGGGTTTGCATTCTTGTTGGATCTTATAAAAGAGAAGGACTAATATTGATCTGGCTGGTAAAGACCAAATCCCCAAAAGGTTATATGTATATAATGTCACTTTTAGTGCCAACTGGATGAAAAACACAAGTTGGACTAGATATAATCTTTTTAGATGGATAGTTTTATATCCACAAATTCAGATTAAAATCTCTTCCTTCCTGTTTGTGCCTTAACATCAGAAGTGAACTGGAGAGTTTTAGAGCTAGTTAATGCTGGAATCAGTGTTTTCTTGTCATGGTGAGAGACCTTCCTTTAGTTTTGGACGGTGTAGAGTTTCTGTGTTTCTCCTAGAGGATATGTTTTGTAGGTTTCTGTTTCATATCATGACAAAATACAATAAAAAACAGTCTCCTAAGTAATCAGATCTGGGGAGAGTTGAGCGGGATGGGCCTCCTCTAGTGCAATGGAAAACCACAGAAGTGATTCAAAGTATCATTTTTAATGCCAAATGCATGGCAAGATCTGGATCTAATATTAGTTCTAAGTTATTCTCTCTTTGTTTGAATCTGCCTTGAGCCCCAGATGGTGAGAGTTTACCACAACACTTTTTCATAGTTCTCTGCACAGATATAGAAAATAAAACCCAGTTTTAAAATGTGATGCGAAAGTTGAGATCACAGATACCAGGGGAATCCCGAGCTGAAATTAAAATGCTATATACATATATATATATATATATATATGTATATATATATATATAGAAACAACTAGACACCTCAGCAGTTCTGGGTCATATTACTGTATACCTTTATTGGATTTTTTTTTATCAAAACAATAATATTTGTTGATTAGAGGGTGCAACTAAGGTGGAACTGAACAGCATATTGTGATTACATGGTCATTACATTTGCTGCTGAAGGCAGATTAAAAATGTATTATAGGAACATAAGAGGTTCATTTCAGCATAAACTCCAGTCCACTGTTTAATTATAAATGCGTTGGTTTGATAAATTATATCAAGCATAGTAATAATAATAATAATAATAATAATAACTTTATTTGTATAGCACCTTTCATACAGGGGATTGCAATTCAAAGTGCTTTACATCAGTAAGAAATAAGACGTAAAATCAGTGTAGTAAATGGAGTTAATCTATATGAAAAGTCGTATCAACTGCAATAATGTTAACATGCAAAGGCAAACTCTAACATTTACTTATGCTAAACTTCAACTTACTTTTTAAAACATAAACATTTTTAAAAAGACTTAAATTCAAGTTAGTCAAAAAAAAAAAAAAAAACTGTAAAATAAAATATAAATGACGCAATAATGCTTGACACAACTGCTTGGTGTATATAAGTACCGTCCATTATTAGCAAGTAAGTACGTGATCATAATAATAGGAAGACCTAAGCAAACAGGGACATCAATTACATTAATGTAGCAATTTGATATTCATTAAGTAAAACAAATAAACAGTTTAGTTTGAGACATATGAAAAACACATGTTTTAAAGCAAGTTCTTGTTCAGAAGTCAGCACAGAGCTGACATAATCTCTTGTTAGGTCATATTGTGAAGCCACTTTGCCTTAACCCTTCAAAAAGAGCATTTTCCCTTTCATGCAGTCAAAATCCAAACGGCCCCCTTACCTCCCACCAAACACTTAGGCCTCCCCTTTGTAATTAATAAAGTTTGCAAATGCACAACAGTCTCTCGAAGTAAAAGCCATTGAATGGATCACATTTTATACGTTTTTGAGTGCTCCGACTTCAGAGGGGAACTTTTTTGCGTTTTCACCTTATCCTTCACTCTCACCCTGCCCCGCCCCCCCCACTCCTTATTTTTCCATCACCCCGACCCTCACCACCACACACATCCTCCCTCTGCCTCTCCTCCCTTGATTGATCTTTAATAAGCGTTCCCTCCTCTCCCATGCCCCCCTCCGTCTTTCCATTAGTTTGTCTGTAGTTGCTCTCCGTGGGGGGAGCGTGGCAGCTTTAATGGGTCTACAGGGGAGGTGGGTTTTCTGCGGTTAGGTGTGTGTGCAAGGATGAGTGGAGTGTGTGTGTGCTCTGCTTCATATGCACAGGGCTACGATAACGTTTTTTATGGATTGTAATGACTTTATGAATCAAAACTTAATACACCGCCAACAGGACGACACAAGATTTTTTTCTTGCATGTGTGAAAATGAATCCATGTGTTGTATACATCACTGTGTATCTGCGTGTGTATGCTCATGCTGGAATGTGTTTGTGTGTTTTATCTCTGTTTCCTCATTTATGTCCATGAGCTCATGTTGTCCATCTGCATGCAGTCAGGGGGTGTGTGTGTGTGTGTGTGTGTGTGTGTGTGTGTGTGTGTGTGTGTGTGTGTGTGTGTGTGTGTGTGTGTGTGTGTGTGAGTGCGTGCGCGCGCGCGCGTGCGTGCGTGCGTGTGTGTGTGTGTAAGGGGGTAGGGAGGGAGGGAGGTCTCCAAAGTCCCCAGGCAGAATAATGAAGTTAAATGGATCCCAGATGGACAGTTTTTTCCTCTTTTCTCTGTGTTGTCAATGACGTGAGGAGAGTGACAAGCCTCTAATGGGAAACAGACTCACACACTCCCACTTTGATCTCTGCCGACAGCATCGCGCTGCAGAGTCAAGCCTCCCTCCGCCGCTCTCTTCCTAACAACAATAGCATTAAGGAAGTCTTCTGTTTGAAGTCCACAAACAACACTGAGTAGCAACAGCACTGTATAAGAGCTGACTTGTGTAACTTAAGGCCTGCACAGCTTTTCCAACACAGAAACAATAGACCTTTGTCGGCTGCTGAGTCAAACATCAGCCAAACTTTTTTTGATTTGACCATGAATTTGTCATCTTAAGAAGGAAGAAGAAGTTTAGAAATGCACAGTTGGATTTGGCAATATTTCACTAAATATTATGGACAGTCTTCACAAGCAAACTGATTAAATGAAACCAAGTTAAAGTTTATCAATCAGTGATTTATAAATCAACTAAGATTTACAGCTCATTGTATTAATATTATATCATGTTCTTCAGTTAGGTCCAGATTTGACTCTTGTAAAGGGACAGTTTGGATGTTTTGAAGTTGGGTTGTATGAGGTATTTATCCATAGTACGTATGTTTCCCACAGTAGATTACAACAAGCTGTGGATGAGGGCTGCAGAAAAAAATGTTTGCAGCCTGAAAGAAAGGCCCACCATATAAAAGTTTTAGTTAAGGCTATATTTAAAATATTTTCACTGCCGTCAGACAGGCAACTCATCCTGCTATCTATGCTGCTGGCATAAAAAACCAACATGAGAGTTTCTGGTTTACCGCTGCCTCAATGGGTTTGTTTGTTTCTGTTATTGTGTGACTTTTTGGATGCCAAACTAACCAAAGTCACAACATAACACAAATAAACTAGCTGAGCAAGGATGCTAGAACGTAGATAACAGCTTTACTTACCCAGCAGGCTGTCTGATGGCAAGGTCAATTGTTGGAAATATTCTTAAAACCGCAAAGTGTACACTTTAACAGCTTTATTTAGGTAGATACAATACATGTTGTTGTTGCCACTCCACAGCAGTCGTTGAATCATACCAGCACAGAAGCTAAGAAGCTTACATTTCTTTTTTCGAATCTTAGAGACTATATTTAAGACATTGACTTGTTTTGGAATTTGTTATCCCGTCACTGCATAGTTTTACTAAGGTATTCTGCTATTGCTTTTTATATCACGCCAAGCAAAAATGCCAGTTTCCTTTACAACTATTCTTTGAGTTGAGCTCTACAATAAGTCTCATAATGAAGAATAAAGAAAACTACAATACACACAGATTTTGTTTTTCCATGTGTGTCTGACATCTTGTGTTATATGTTATACTGTATGTAGTTACAGCATGGAGATCACACACATGCAGTTTAACAGATATTACTGCATTAAAGAAGTGCAGCAACAACAACGTTTTTCAGTGGCCTATATTTGTGTTTGTGTGTTCCCCTTCAGGTCCGTAGTGATGCCCATCGCCCAGGAGTTCTCTCCGGACGTTGTTCTGGTGTCGGCTGGGTTTGATGCCGCTGAGGGAAACCCCGCTCCTCTGGGAGGATACAAGGTCTCCGCCAAATGTAAGCACGGCTCTCCACCACCGCCTATCCTGCAGACTTTACCTCCATCTCGATTTCAGCAACAAGAACTTTAAGCTGTTGTGGTTCACTATTTAGAGATATTAATAGATTATTACAGCTCCTGTCAAGCAGAGTGCAAGGCTTTTACCTTAACTGGCTGCATCACTGATGGAACCATAATTACAGTCATTAGTTGTTGGCATTTTAGCTGTGGGAGGATCCACAAGATAAAAATAGATATTTGTTTTCTTAGAGTATCGGAAATTATAGCGAGACTCATTTTGGTCAGTCTTAAGTAAGTGTTCTCATGATGCAGTTGACCTGCCAAACATTTTCTGCTCTGCTTTTGCATGGTTTATAATTTGTGTGTGTGTGTGTGTGTGTGTGTGTGTGTGTGTGTGTGTGTGTGTGTGTGTGTGTGTGTGTGTGTGTGTGTGTGTGTGTGTGTGTGTGTGTGTGTGTGTGTGTGTGTGTGTGTGTGTGTGTGTGTGTGTGTGTGTGTGTGTGTGTGTTTGCCAGGTTTCGGCTTCCTGACATGTCAGCTGATGTCTCTGGCTGGGGGTCGTCTGGTTTTGTCCCTCGAGGGAGGTCACGACCTCACAGCCATCTGTGACGCATCTGAGGCCTGTGTCAGTGCACTCCTGGACATACAGGTAAGGCATGCTGGGTAATGGAGTTCTATTTAAATGTTTGCTTTAGATTGACATGTTTTACTAACCTTTCCAGGGTTAGTGGTATTTGCAATTGAAGATAATATGGTTTTCAAAAGTTTTAGGCAAGGACAGCTGGACAAAAACAGGGATTGATCCAAGACTAATTGAATTTATTCCATATCGCAGGAGTAATCCTTTCAGTTGCTTATTAACTCAAGTATATGTATTTTACTGACAGCTTATTATCAGTTTTAATAAATGGTACCTTGCTGTTTTTCTATACATTTAAAGTTGGTCCTGATTACAATATAATATCACTTTTATTAACATACCTCCTAAGTCAGTATACAAGCTTTTAACCACTTTCAAACATGATCCAGAATAAAAGATTATCTTCAATACTGCCTCTCTGTATTGTAGGACCCACTGTCAGAAGAAGTCCTCCTCCAGAAGCCCAATGCTAACGCAGTGCGCTCCCTGCAGACCGTCATTCAGATACAAAGTAATTAATCACTCTTTTATTTGTGAAAATTCTTGTGAATTCCCCTGAGTTTCATGTTTATTTTCTTCCTCCTACCTACGTGATGCTGATATTAAAAACATGATCTAGTCCTGTTTGCATTACAACAAGAGTAACCTGTTTCTCTGTGGTTGTTGCAGGTCAGTACTGGCAGAGTGTGAAGGCCTACAGTGGATCAGTGGGTCTGTCCTACCTTGCTGCAGAGAGGAGAGACTGTGAGGAAACTGATGCGGTCAATGCTCTGGCCTCACTCTCTGTGGGAGTGCTGTCCAACAAGAGGTACAGCACACACACAGTCATAGGTTTTCCATTTTTTACAAATGATTTTTCCTTGTCCCACCCAACTGTCTTCTGATTTGTTAGTACCTCTTTTCACATTAGAGCAGGATTAGGTGTAACAAAAATATGGTTAAAGAATCAATCAAAGACAAGTATCCCACTTTGTCGCTTCATGTTGGCATTCCAAGCATTTCCCTCACTCTCTGTTTCCACCCTCCAGCCTCCCTGACGAGCCGATGGAGCATGACAGTGACTCCATGTAAAAAGATCAGACCAATCGCCTCACTGTCAGGATTTGGGTGCCCACCTGTAGCCTTGGATCTCCTGCGCTGTGACACAACCATGAATGGGGAGCGTTTGTAATGCCACTGAGCCCCACCCACCTGCCTTATTCACACACCAACAGACACACAATGTTGAAACCCAACAGGCCGGCAGTGGGAGCACGTCCAAGCTGGCAACCACTACCTTCTGAAACCTCACCAAAGAGCAATACAAGACAATGTCTTATTACTTTTGATGTCCTCTTACTGACAATGGATGGTGTGTGTGTTCAGAGGTCCAGGAACCTTAAAGGAACTGACAGAATTCAGATGTCCAGCTCTGAATCCTCCTGAAGCACTATGTACCAGCAGCCTTAACTATGCCTTAACATAAGGACCAGCAGATTTCAGAAGGAAAATACTTTGGATCATGAATTCCTTTCTCTTCACGTGAAGATACACCTGATGGATGCTCAAATATCAACAAGAAGGAAAGAATATGGAAAATAGGAGATGGAGATTGTCTGTTTGAATGATTTCATTGCATGCAGTTTAACCACTAGAAGAAAATGAAGACACAAACTGTGGTTTTGTAGAAATAAAAAAAAGGAAAATGTCCTTTTATTGCACTGTTCATTCCATAATGTGAACCGTAAGAGAAATTCCAAAACCCTGGGATAAAAAACAACATCTCCTCTGTAGATAATTAAAAAGGAGGATTTGGATGACATTTTATTCGCTCTATATCTGAGATGTCTTAAGTGAGGACACGTATCATCCTGATACTGTAGACTGTATTTCCTATGAAGTTAATCCAAAAAGTAGGCAATATTTTTCGAGCAGGATTATTTTTCCACTGCTGTTCAGTGTCTTGTACACACGTGTACAAATCGACGATGACCTTTCAATGTACCACTAGTATTCAAGACTGTATATTATTGTTTATATTTGAGACTAAAGGAGCGTTCATTCCACCGTGGCACCACTGAGGACCATTCGTATTGTTCTATAGTTGCAATAATATTAATGCACTTAAAGGATATCACCCAAAGAAAACTGCCTTAAGACAGCACGCAACACAAGGGAACAGTTTGGATTCTGCTGGACTTTTCAAAGACAACCTTTGGATTTAGAAGAATATCTTGTATGCAGACTTTTGTATACCGTCTGTTTTGATAATGAATGTTTTCTTTATATTCTTCAAAAAACAGCTATGGAGATCCAGGCTCTCTCACAGTCTAATTAAGGAAACATTGTGTTTTGTTTGCAACTGTAGCAGCTCTTCCTGTCACGTTACAATCAAGCTAGACAGTGCCATGCTAAACAAGTCGGCCCCTCGTCCACACGCAGGTCACGTTGCTCATTGAAGAATTGTTCTGACTGCCCAGCTGTAGGGGCATGTAAGGGCTCTGCATTCCAAAAGTAAAAATAACAAGATCGTGTTTCTTAGTTTGGAGGTTTTTGTTTGAATCCATTTTTCATGCACTCTTCCTTTGACCAGGTTAGGCTTTTGATGACCAATACTTGCATTGGTTAGATTAAAGCTGCAGAAAACTGAGTCAAAATGATTACATTTGACATAATGTGGCCAAAAAACAACATCAAATTCCATAATAATTCCATATCTTATTTTCTAAAAGTGAATATACACACTAAACCTCTGTAAGGAAATTAATACTTGACTGTTAGCATGGTTTTAACATCCATGATTGGATTTAAAGCAGCACAATCAGTTTTTTTTATCTTATAGGAAATAAAAACGGCATGTAAAAGAAGCTTTTGTAAATAGATAAAATAGCTTGAGATTAGCACAGCAAGTTAATGTGAATGGTCGCAGGAAGTGTCGGTTAGCATCCTGGTAGGAAACTGTAAGCGTTGCTTTAGTCGGACCCTGGGCATCATCTGCCCAACAGAAGGCCTCAAAGCGTTTATAGGAAGCAAAATGACAGAAGAGCTAAAACGTTTCTCCTTTGCAGAAGTCCCATTGAGAAATATTGCAGGTAAAGGATTCTGTAATAGGTGTCATTTTTTGTTTGTGTGTACATAGTATTCTTATCAGCAAATGACGGCATTGAAACTAAATGCTGTGTCTCTATTATCCAGCAGCAGGTGCATGTTGTGTCTATGAAGTGAATGTTGAGTGTGTGTTTGTCTGTCAAATACTGTAAATGACCTCCTGTATCATATCCCCAGCACCTGTTTTTTGCCTTAAGGAGAGGCCATTAGTGCCTCAACTCTTAATTCCCTTTAATACTGATAAAATGTGTACCTTCTCACTGTAAATAGAAACTCCATGACCAAAATACACATGTCACACATGTGCCTTGATGCATTCAGCAGGATGTGTATTGGTGTCTCTTGACTAACTGGACTTACAGTAACTCTGTGTATCTATAAATGTGACCTTGAAATCTTTATTTCATGCTAGTAGTTACTATTTACCTGTATTTTTACTGCACATTTCCTACCAAGTGTATGTATAGAAAGATTCTATTTTCTACTATTATTTTTGTCTTTTCCTCTTGATTAAAACAACATAATTTCCAGTATTTAAGCTTATTTTTGTCTTCTTTGTCTAAACTTCATCATATTAACTAGAAGAATAGGATAAATAATATATTATATTTGTTTATTTTTAACACATATTGAAATTGAGTAAAAGAGAATATTACTGGGTGTTATTCAAATATATTTAAAGCACATTTTAAGAAAATCACCAGTGTAGGATTCTTCTTCCAAGTGTATAGTTTGTGGAGGAAATATTCTTTACCAAAAGAGTGTTGAAATTGAGTAAGCTTTTACTGTTATTTTAAAAATGTTAGACAACATGAATAGGCTAACTAGCAATATGAGTTCAGTTTTAATGACATCCTCCATCTTGTCTTTAGCGGCGAGCTATAATTTGCTCAGTAAATTCTAATTGTGCAGTTAGCAAGCAGATAATACTCTATGCTAAGTAAGTGGTCATAATTAGCTAAAGCTAGCATTAAAGCTAATGCTAGCTTTAGCTTATTATGACCACACTCAGATTTAATATTGGGCTTGAAAGTCTGGTTACACCATCTGCTATAGCATTAGCTAGCTATCTTAGTGCTTATGAATATTGTAACCGGGTTAATGTATATTGTGGGTATCTATATCACATTTATTAAATTGTGTGAATGGTAGGAATGACAAGCTATGTGTTCAAACGACGCCTTTTCAGTCATAGCTAGTGTGTTTATTTTCAATGTCTTAACCTATTTCCTATCCATTCCCTCTGACGTTAGTGTAGCATTGATCCCAGCTGTGAAGTCTGTGAGCAGTCAGCTGCTAGAAACCTGGATCCACAGATTAAGCACAATTCTCGGGTCTGTGAACTTTTAATATGTATTAACGAGCAGATAACTTGTCCACTGACAAAGAGGCAGAAACTAAAACTGAATTGCACTGTTACAACATTATTGTTTTGCTCATTTACTGAAAATAATGCACATTACGGCAAACTTCGACCAAAGCATGCTGCATTTTTGGGAAGAAGATGAGCAACGGTTGAAATCAATGTCAAGTGACATCAAATGTAATATAAACCAAATTCAAGCCATTTTATTGATCAAATCTATACTATATTTAAGTGAAACCCAAGCATATTAAAATCTGTGAGACTCAATCTTAGTCACTCATTTAGGTAGCCTACTAATGTGTCTAACATTTCCACAGTGTTGATTAAAGAACACAGCTATACCGCAAGACAATTACAAGTAATTCTTTTATAATTTGTATAATAAAATCTGGCTGGCAGTTTACAATACCAACTCTGATAACGGCTGTTATGCCACAATGTAACTGTTCCTGTGGGTTAACACTGTGAAAGCTTTAATGATCTAACTCCTGCTAAAGGATACTCAAGTTCAACAGTAAAGCTGGCTGCAGGCCAGTGTAGCATAACTCCAAAGATCAAGCTAAAAACTATGAATTTGGGCCCAAACAGGCTATAAATATTCCTGGAGCCTTTAATTGCACATTAACTTGTTCTTTTTGGAGGAATTAACTGTTCCTGACTGACCAGGCAAAGGCACACAGACCTCATTAAAAAAAAGACCGGGGGAAGGAGGAAGGAAGGGAAAACAAGAGGCAGTTTAACAAGAGAGACAGGAGACAAAGAGGGTGTGGCGCTAGTATAAATCTTTGCACCGTTCATCATCCACTTTGAGCAAAACAACAAGAAACTTGTGAAAAGGTTTGAAGACAGTTTTATTTTTCAGACAAATTATTCATGTTGCATTACTACATCCATTTTGTTCTGCATGTGATATCCAGTCATGCTGTATCAGTGTCACTCCACACACTGTATATTCTTCAAGTAACTGCTCCTTAAAAACAAAGCCTTGCTTTGGTTGTAAACTGGTGAACAAGAGATGAACATACATTCTGTCAGAGATTATAGTCTTGCTTCAACTGCAGGTGAATTCTCTTATACAGTGACAGCTAATATATAAGTTTCCTTTTATTATATACAGGGAAAATAGTGATAATCACAACATTTAAACAATAAAAAATGTCCAGCTATTGTCCAGCTAAAGCTCTTTGATGGTTTAGTTTGTCCAGAAATGTCCTCTTGCCCCATATCTGTCTGCATCCTGATCCGGATGCCTTTTGATATTCTTATACACTCCTTTTCTCCCTAAGTGAGATAACTAAAAATATTCCATTGTATCAAAGTCCAAATGATTGAACCTTGATGGTAGCATGAACACCAGAGAAGATCACAGTCACTTTATTCAGCAGCTGGAAAGACAAAAAAGACAGACTGCTGATGAGTTTTTAGACGGTTTTTTTAAATTGATCCTTGTTTCAAAAAAACAAGACATCAATGGGGCAATGACAATCAAAGAGATTTAATTTCATATTTCCAAGTATACCACCAGGAAGAAAAAGCACATTGTCTTAAGTAGTGTCATCTATGAAAAATAACAGCATTTTTGTATTCATAACAAGCTAGAATTAATACACTAATTCAGAATACTTCTTGATTGAAATATAATAATACAAGGTTATGCATGCGCATTAAACTGGGGTTCAGTATTGACATATATGGGGTGTTGGCAAATGCAATTCAGGTCATTAATGTTGCAAATTTTCGTATCAGTGGTAAAAAAAGAAAAAAAGTAGCTGTCAGTTATTATCCAACTGCTGTTTTGTACATAAAATGCACAGGGGCTGCTTTTCTCTTTTGGCCCAAAACTTAAATTATTTTGAAATGTTAAGTGTCCTCTAACATTTCAGCGGATGCTGTTCCTCTGAGACCACACTGTGCTTACTTTGAGGCACAAGTCTTCATTAGTGTTCACAGGAGCTGGAAACATTAGCTACCTCCCTGGGACATGCTAATGATAGGTTGCAGGGCTTAATGCATATTGGCAATGAGCGAAGAAGTGGTTTGTCATGGATTTGTATCGAAACAAACAACATGTCATCTCTTTGGAGTTTGCTCCTTTCATAGAAATTGAAAGCTAAACTCTGTAGGTGATGTTCATTCGAATGAATTTGGATGTTTTTTTTCAAACCCAGACATTTAGAATGTGTGTGTTTCTTTATGGGTGCGTGCATAGGGCTACACCTATAGTTGTGCACATTTGTGTGTGTATAAATCAGCTCTCACCTCCTCCATCACTTCCAGTGGTTTATGGGAGCCCAGCAGGGAGCCACATCGGGCTCCTCTTTGATGGTGACACGCATGATTCATGGCTTTTCGAGACCGTTTGTTTTCATTACGCCTCCTCGTCAGCTCGCAAGCTGCATCACTGTTTCGTGCAACGCAGGCACATTTGGGCCAGAATGAGAGGAAAGAATTTCAAGAGGAGAGTTTTTTTTGGCACTACTAGAAACAAAGGGGCTTGGTTTGGGTACGGAGAGAAGAAACTTAAATCGGGACGACGGCTGCCCTGCCCACGGCTGTTTTTTCCACCAGCGCTTGGGTTCAGAGGTGGTCAGGGAATCATGATATGTTTTGGAAAAGTAGGAGTTTAAGGCTTGGAAAAGTCAAAGGTCCAATCTCTGTTGGAACATCCAATTTGATCTTTCCAGTTCTTCTTCTCTTCTAATCCCTCCTCTGCATAGTGGTTCTTTATATAACACAGAACCTGCTAGTCCCAGGCTGGAATAAAGTTCAAATGTGGCTCCAAGTATGCATACCTATGAAGATGATGATAAAAACGATGCTAAAGGTGGAAGTTATGATGATAAAATCTACGGACATGACACATGAGGTCAAATTACAGAACCCGAGAAAGTCAGGAGATTGAATGTTACTATCTGTCACCTGTCATGTCCTCCTTTGGGATTCATGTAAACAAAGCACAAACGCTGTAAAAAAGAATCTTTAAAAAAGCTTGGAATCATACGCTGGGCACAATGTCCCTGTTCTACTTCTCTTGAATTATACTATTGGCATACTCAAGCAGTAATTGCTGCTTTAGGCAGACAACATACAGAAATACAACAATCCATCTGGCATGTAGCTTGTCAACAATAGTGGCTTTAAAATCAGCTTCTTCCTACTGCAAATGTCAATGTAAATAAGTCTTTCTGACATCATTGAGGCAAACCGAAGAAGTTGATGTGATAAATAGTCCACAGGTGAGCTGACACTCCTCCGCCCCTTTGCGTCAAGTTAGAGTATTTCCTTGTCAAGTGGAATTCATCATACATTTTACGGCAACAGTCAAAAGATAACCCTTAAAAGGGGCTAGTGGCCAGCAGACATGGATGACCAGGCCCCCTCCATCCTCCAGACCGAGAAGGCGTAGCTCAGTCTCTCGTGGGCCAGGTAGTTACATCCAGCCATCTTGGTGTCCATCTCGTCATTCTCCAGAACCTTGTACAGAAAGTCGATGTAGCGCGACGCCAACTTAAGGGTCTGGATCTTGCTCAGTTTGTCAGAGGGGAGTGTTGGGATTATTTTACGCAACGATGTGAAGGCGTCGTTCAGAGATTGCGTACGCTGTCTCTCTCGGATGTTGGCGATCACCCGCTGCCCGTGAGGGTCCTCCAGACTTCCGGGACTCAGGCCAGGAGAAAGGGACGGTGCCGAGGAAGGTGACCGATCTTGAGGACTCCTCTTGGGTCTTTTCGGTCTGGTTAGGGTGAAGGTCTGGATGTCCTCCCCTGGCTTGACCTTGCCATCGTGTGCAGATGTAGTCGGAGTTGTAAGTTGATCATCCGCATTTGAGCCTGTCTGCCGTTTACGCCCGGTGACCCCAGGTGTTGCTACGACAACAGGGCAGGCGTTAGAAGGTGGTCTTCCTATGTTTTCCTCGCTGGAAACCACCCCTCCCTCGGGGTGGTCATCATTGGACTGCTCCTCCTCTCGCATGATTTTCTGTCTTCTCTTGGGACTCTCAACCCTTCACTTTTCTGAATAGCTCCAGTGCTTCTCTCTTGCCTTCACTATATCTTTCTCCACTCCCCCCCTTCTTCCCTCACTGTTTTCCTCCTGTCTGTTTGTCTTCAGGGAACTCCCCCTGTTACGTTTCTCCGGCCTTCTGATGTGTTGTTCTTCTTT